AAAAAAAAAAAAAGGAAATCAGCAATGGAAAAGTAATGCAATGACAGGAATAAGTCAATATTTCTCAGTAACAACACTCAATGTGAATGGTCCCAATTCCCCAATCAAAAGACAGATTGGCAGAATGGGCCAAGAAATAAAACCCAGCAATATACAATATATATGAAACACACTCAATTCAAAAAGAAATTCACAGATTAAAGATCTAAGAATGGAAAACAACATTCCATTCAACAGAAACCTAGCAGAAGGCCAAAGTAACTATGCTGATTTCAGACAAAGGAGACTTTAAGCTAAGACTGGTCACAAGAGACAAAGAAGGTCACTACAGATTAAAGGAACAATTCAACAGGAAAAGGTAACAATTATAAATATATGTGCACCAAACACTGGTGCACCCAACTTCATAAAAGGAACACTAATGGACATGAAAAATCAGATAAACACCAATATGACTGTAATGGAGGATCTCAAAACCCCACTGCTACAAATAATTCACTAGACTCCCCCTCAAAAAAATCTACAACAGAATATCAGAGTTGAACCAAACCTTCATACAAATGGACTTAACAAATATGTATAGAGTGTTCCATCCAACACACATTCTTCTTAGCAGCATATGAGACTTTCTAAAAAACAGACTACCTACTAGCCAACAAAGCAAGTGTAAGTAAACATAAAATAATCTAAATTATCCCATGCATATCATGAGATCATAGGATAATGAAACTAGCCATCAGTGGCAAAAGAAATCACAAAAACTATGCAAGCATATGGAAATTAAACAATATTCTCTTGAATAATCAATGGATTTGGGGTAAAATTAAAGAAGAAATTAGTTCCTACACTCAAATGAGAATGCCAGGACATACTGGAACCTAATTAAAACAGATCTCCAAGACCTATCATGTGAAGGTACAGGATCCCAATAATGAATGTAAATGTATTGTATACCTAGATTATACCAATAAACTCAATAAAAAGAAAAAAAAAAACAGATCTTCTAGGGAAGTTTATAGTGGTGAATTCTCACATTAGAAAAACAGCAAGCTCAATTAAATAATCTAATGATGCACCTCAAGGTCCTAGAAAAACAAGAAAAATCCAAACTCAAAATAGTACAAGGTAAGAAATTATAAAGACCAGAGCAGAAATTAATAAAATTGAGACTAAAAAAGCAAGGAATAAACAAAACAGACAAACTCTTAGTCAATTTACCAAAACAGGGAAAGAAAACACCCAAAGCCATGCAATTAGAAATGAGAAAGGCAAAACACAACAGATTCTGCCAAAACCCTGAAGATCATTGTTAACTACTTTGAGAATCTGTACATCTAATACAAGAGAAAATTCAGAAGAAATGGATATGAAATATATATATATGTATATATATATATATATGTATATACACATATATATATATGAACTACCAAAACTGAAGCAGGAAGGTAAAAAAATCTTGAATAATTCAATAAAATCAGTGAAATTGAAGAATTAATTTAAAAACTACCAGCTAAGAAAAGTCCAGGTCCCAACAGCTTTGCTGCTGAATTCTAATGCCAATACACCTCAAACTCTTTAACCACGTAACAGTTTACCTTGAGTGTTACTTGGGCAATGGGTTTATTTACATACTGACTATCCTGAGCATCACTTGGGCAGGTGTCATTTCAACCAATCAATTCTTGTTTGCACAAAATACATCCGTATGTATATTTGTTTTGTATCAATTATTTTTTGCATATTTTTTATTTAGTACACTGTATTCACCCTTGATGTTTGTTTCTAGTGAAATCTAATAATTTCTGGTTATTTTCTTTTACTGATTTGTATTTATTTTGTGAAAAATAACCTTTAATTTTGTGCTATAATCTATAAAAACTTACTGTAAGTTCATTAGGTATAATTTTTATACTTCTCCAGAACTCAGCGATATTTTTTTACAATACAAAATGGACACATTTAGGACACAGACTGAATAGGAAGGAAGTGTCAGAAGATATGCAAAAGAAAAAACTGAAAAAGGGAGAAATGTTACCATCTTAGAGAGGAAGTGTTGTGTTATGAGATGAAAAGACAAAAGACATCTTATTGTTAATGATTCGCAATACAGAAATGACAGAACTTGAAAGAAAAAAATAAAACTAAAACAATTCCAAAAGTGGTTAATGATTATAATAATTCTACATGGGTGATGTTGACAGAGTTTACCAATATCTAACAAGCTTAACCTGTAATCAAAAAGTGAGGAAAAAATAGTATTATAAAATTTTTATGCATTTTCTGGAACAAATAATACGGAATTTTGTTATTTATTCAAACAAGGAGGTTCAAAAAGTCACTTACAATTTAGATTAGGTCTAATACAACCAAATAATTGAAAAATATAGGACAGTAAAACACAAACCAGGACGTCCATCATAGATGTTTTCACC